AAGCGCAGTCGGTTACCAAATCTCGTTGTGGGACGACTCGGCGACTTTACGAGTCACCTTATCTCCTTGTAGGTCCTTAATGACCCTTGAAGTCTTGGCGCGAATGTGTTCTTCACCCTTTTGCTTAGCACCATGGCCTACGTAGTTTCTTGATTCCATACAACTTGTAAGGAGTCCTCTGATTTGCTCGAACGATGTCCATGGTTTGGGGGAGTCCCGGTCCCTTCCTTAGCATTTTGACTTTTAAGGTTTTCGTGGGTTCTTAGTACGAGTTCCCAACTCGCCTCCTTGGTTTGCGCAATCCTTTACGCCAAACATCCCTAGTCGGTTGTATCGTAGGATCCGATTTCAATTACTCGTGCAATGTAATTGATTGTGATTTCCCGATGGTGTTCGTGCGTCAAGGTCTTTTACGTAGACACTATGTTTGGGTGGTCCATGGTTCCTTACCCAAGACTCACATTCTCAATCGAGGCCACACAAGTGCGCCACCAAATCAATAAAATGAGGGTTAAGAAATCAGCACATTGTACCAGTGGGCGCGAGGTGGGCGGTCGTCCGCCTGCCAAGCTCCTGCCAAGGACCCGCCAAGGTCCCGTTGGGGACCCGCGGGGAAAGTGACTAGGAATAGTCAATTCCTTCGGGAAAGACCCCAAAAATGCACAGATTCATGTCCTGACAAAGTCCCATGCCCTTGTGCACAATAAAAGGGACTTGGATACATAGGATGACCCATCGTACAATGTTCATTGATCCTTAAGCACGAGTTCTAGAGGTAGATATACATACATATATATATCTATGTTTTCTTGGTCTGGGTTTAAAGGGGTGTAAGGAGTGCAAGGGCTAGGTTTCAAAGTCGAGGGGCGGATAGGGTCGATGTCTCAAGGTCGTAAATACAGGAAGGAAGGTTGCCACCTTGTACGGGTTCGTCTGTAATGAGGGATCAAGAGCGAGGTTTGGAGTGATAGGACGGATTCTTTAACGAAATGGTACTTGATTGGCAAGGGGAGGGAAAGGGCTAAGGACTCTTGGCTTCGAGTGATTATGCCTGTTTGGGGCTTGGTTGTGGCGTGCAGTCGAACTGGTGATCCCTTTTCCTTGGCTTTGTTTGATTCTAAGATTTTCGTTTGATCTTCTCTTCCCGTGTCGAAGTCCCCTTCGTTTCTATGGCTTCCAGGGGAATTCTCGTGATGGTTTCCGTGCACGTTCCCCTCGGATGTCCAGAAGTTTGGACCCAATCGGTTTAGTGGGTCAAACCCCTAGGTCTTGACTCCTAATCCTTGCCGAGGGTTCTTAAGGGTAAGGGGGGTTTCGGGTTAGTCTTTCTTGTTCTATTGGGTTTCATCCCTTCCTTGGTGGATGAAATTCTTAGCAAGGATTTATGTCCTCCTCGAGGTTCGGCCTGTTGCACCTATTTGACGATGTTTTCTGTAGCGAGGGCCCCTGACACATTGAACGTATTTGTTTGCCCGCTCTTGTCAACGCATGGCGTTCTTCGGTGGCGTACGTACAGGCTATGGTTTCTCGTGAAGCCTTCACGGTTTTCGTGCAAGGGTGGGGTGATACGTATTCGTAACCTCCACCTACTTTGCCGATTCCTATCTAATAGCTTATTTTAATATTGAATCAATGAATGTCGGTTCTTCACGCCCCTGGGCAGGGTAAGGGCCTTATGCTGCTCTACGGTTTTTAACAGGGTTTCCAAACGGAGTGGGGATATGAACTTAGAGTAAGGGCAATAACAATTTAGGGTTTCCGAGGGTTTGGGTTAAACGCAACAAGGGTGAGCAAGGTCATGACGGTTGTGAATTTTCTCTTAAGGTAATTAAGGATTCGGGGTGGGAGTTTTCAACAAATAGGGTATCCAGATGTTGGGGTTTCAGGGCGGATGATATTTTAAATTGGGGTGGTGGGGTCGCAAGGTGTCGCGATATACTTACCTTGCACCCAAGGATTCAACTAATGGTGTCGTTCCTTCGCTACTTTAATAGGTGTCCTAGTTCTCCTTCCTGTTTGTTGTAGCCACAACCGGGTTTGCCGAGATAAGACAACTTGTCGGAAGGTGCATGTCATTTGTCTGACTCGGGGGTTATCGTGGTTACCCTGGGTTGGTGCGTATTGCAGTCCGTCCCTTTTAGCAGTCCTGACTGTAACGCCTCTTCTTAGTAGTCATCCCAAATTTTCCTTTTCTTTGGTCAGGGTCCTTGTCAAGTCTTTTGACGGGAGTTAGGACGAGGCGATTTATCGGGTAAGTGTATGTTACCCAGTTGTGGAAGTAAACTTATCTATTCGCACCCTTACCTGGTGTGGTAAGCGTAGGGGGAGGTTCCTTTAAGTTAGAGAGGGATGAAGTGAGGGGAAGTTATGTGTAGGTTTAACAATCTCACTGCGCGTCCTAAGATTCCTGGATCCTATGTTCCTAAGTACCTAGAGTTCAAGCCTAGTGTCCTAAAGTCCGGTCTTAAGAGTCTTATCCTAGGGTCAAACTTAAGCTCTGATACCAACTGTAACACCCCAGATTTTCAAGACATTTAAAACTTATAATAAAGGTAGAATCTTATTAAATCCCAAGATATAAATACAAGCGTTCGGGGTGCTATGCCACACCTGGGCTAGAGAACCCAAGTGCACAGGCTAACTAACGAATATCCTCAAAGCGTAAATACGTAAACGTGGCACGCAGGCCAAAAGGGAAACTATCTACTTCTAAGTTCTAGCGCACTCCAGTGACTTAATCTTCTGTGCCTGAAAGCCAAATATATCTGTTCAGCGAGAGATGCTGGTAACCCACTCCAACGCGTTGAAATACAATACATATAGAGATATATATAGATATACGAAAACCATTTTGCACATGAAGATATATCCTACGAACTCTAGCTTTAAAACCGGGAATGACTCGACAGATAAGACCAGACACAAGCAACAGTTATAACTAGCATATGCAGTTCACAATAGATAAGGCGGATAAGGCAAAGCATAAACAACGATCATAACCCAACATGAACAATCCCCAATATAAATCCCATAGTCACATCCCCCAAGACACTCGTAATCACAACACGTCCATGTCACAGCACATAACACACTTTGTTGGCGCCACAGGACCAATCGCATGCCCATACATGAGGGTCAGCGCATATAGCTCTGACACGGCCCCGCAGCACCCTGCCCCGTATCGCAACACGGAGGGGTCGATCGCAACCGACCGATGAACCGCAGCTCATCATAGTGTTTGATCGCAACCAAACAGTGGACCGCAGCCCAAGAGAATGTCATCTGACCGCAGCCAGGAAAAAGGACGAACCGCAGCTCGTATAGAAACGTTTGATCGCAACCAAACGGTGGACCGCAGCCCAAGAGTATCAATCTGACCGCAGCCAGCTTCTGAACCGCAGCTCAGGATAACCAATCCGATCGCAACCGAATTGGGGTAACACACACACATAACACATAGCAAGCACATGCAACCCACATTACACATTGGGAAGGGGGAGAAAACGTATAACAAAACCTATGCGTGACCCATCACATACTAGGAATAGTCCTAAGGGGTTCATACTTCTACCACCTAGGTCAACGGGATACCAATTCAACTAGCATGCAATATAATAGACTCGTAAACCTACGAACGGCACCCGAAATATCAAACTAGACATAGGCATGATGAACGGAGTCCGTTGGGACACCACGGGGATCGGGGGAACATCAAACGGGGAAGCCGGGATCCCGAATTGGGGAAATTTCCAGCGGGTAGCCGGTGGGTGGGGGGCCACCCGCCGGCTGCCCGCCGGAATTACTGTTCCGGGCAGCGGGTCGCCGGCGGGCAGTTGCCCGCCCGCCGGCTATCCGCTGCCGGGCGGTGTTTCACGGCCGTGGGTAGGTGGCGGGTCCCCTACCCCCCACCTACCCCCACTGACTCTTTTCACACACTTTACGCCCCGGGAACCGTTGTGGAACCCGAAACCATGCTTAGACACTTTACAACGCAATTAACGACAACACGTAGACAATTAACGAATCAAATACAAGAAACGAACGGCACATAACCTATCATGCTTTTCTAAATATAATCAACACCCAAACATGCGATTTCCCCACCCGATAATCCAAGAATAAGATCATACGATACATCCTAGGGTTCTAATCATTTTTATATCAACAAGAATACGGTTCGTCTTCTAATTGCAAGATTCGGTAAGAATAACACATAAACATCAAGAGCATCACACAATTATCAAGAACAACACATAATCATCAAGAACTCCATATAAACATCAAGAATCTCCCAATATCAAGACTATCAAGATCCCTCATGGGATCATCACGTCAAACATCAATAATCATCATCATATCTCGACAATACACAATAATATGGGGGAAACCCTAAGGGGGAATCATAGCTATGAAAATAGGTTTTGTTGAGACATGGGTTACCTCTTAGCCTTAATTAATTCCTTGGCTATGAAGGGTCTTTCTTTAAGCTTTCTTGCTTTCTTGATTTCTTCTAAGGGGATTCTTGGAGCACTTTGGGGTGGTGGAACGTTTATTGTGGTGGGGGGTTCTAGGTGCCTCTTAAGTCCCCTATTTATATATTTAGGAGTCCTGGTTAGGAACTAATATTATAGGCTTGCTAATTCTATTCCTTTTGGAACTAGGGATTGGGTTTAGGGATAAGGGTCCATGGTCCATAGTGGACAATATTAATTAATTAATGGGAATCCTAATCGTAGTCTGAATAGTAAAAGGCCTACTTCCTTTATTCCTAATAGATAACTAGGTCTAGGATTCCTAATTAGAATCTGAATAGTAAAGGGTTTACTTTCTTTATTCCTAATAGGCTTAGGACTCAAATTTAGGCAAGGGTCCACGGTTCATGGTGGACCTTTATTAATCAATTATAGGAAACCTAACCGAATTAAATCATATTTAATTATTATTAACGGGATTAATTTAATAATTAATCCGGGATTGAAGGCCGTAACACGGGGTGTTACATCGGTTCTCTCCACCCCTGCTCCTCCCTTCACCCCTGCACCGTCTGTGGCCGCCCATGTTGCTCTGACGAGATTTGCTGCCTGGATCGCTGCACCAATACTCTGCATCTTCCTGTCAACCATGGCTTGAGCCATGACTACTTCATTCCCCATCTACTTGACAATCATGTCTGTTTTTGTATTCTTTCATTATGGACTTAAATGCATATTGAATATCTCCGATGGACTCTTTGTGAGTCCACAACATTTATTTTCTAAATTCCTTTCATTTACGAAAAAAATGGCAATTTATATACTGGTTCAGGATCCACATAATTACATTGACAGTAAATAAAAAATTAGATATGAAACGAATATTTATTTCGAAAAGTCTATGATGGATTTAAAATTCTCAAAATAAGAGAAAATGAAAATTGCAACATGTATAATGTTAATAAATTATGAAGATTTTATGTGTTTTGGAATAGTCAGCAGTTGATTGAGTGATTTCTTCATGAAGAAGGAATATGCAAATAATATGTGTCATATTATGTGCTCTAAAGATAGTTGCTAATGGAGTTATTTACTTGCTTATTTATTATCTCAGTCTATGTTGATAGCCTATCAAAAGAGATGCAATTCAGCAATGGCGGAGACTGGCCAGAGAAAGAATCCTATCGAAAGAGATGCAAAACAGAGAGAAAGGGAGGAAGGGTAAAATAGGAAATAAAATATAACATCTATTCCTGAGGACTCAGGAATAGTTTAATACCAGGGCCTCCCTAGTAATAGCTATTCCCCTTGTAAGGGGAATAGGTCATTCCCAGGAACATTGTTCATGGGAATAAAATTTTTTACCAAGCAAAGGAATATGCCATTCCAAGCAAAGGAACCAAACGTGCCATTATTGAATCACATATAGAGCTTGACCATACTTGCTCACCTAAAGACAGAGTTTGAAATTAAAGACTTGGGAAACCCAAGTATTATTTCAACTTGCAGATCGATGGTTTCCTTGAAGGAATGTTACACACCAGTTAGCCTACATTGAAAAATGTCTTGAAGATGTTTTATATCGATATGTATTGATAGAGTAATGGGTCAAGCACCCGACCTGGACCACCAACAAACACTTGACCCGGTACCACCTAAAAGTCCATCATTTATTACCACCCATTCAAGACAGGGAAATAAGTGCCAGGCTCATCATTATGATGTAGTTGTTACTTACCGTTAGGAGATTTAGTATAAGTAGATGGCTCCATGCTGAGAGAGACGTTCTAATTCTTGTACTGAAAAACTTAAGCAATACAAATTGTTATACTTCTTTCTTAATATACTCTGATAAACTATTTACCGTCATTGGTGCTTTCATTGAGAAGAGAGATCAAATCTCAAGAAAATACGTTGCACATTTGGAAAAGATGGCTCGTTCAGGATCCAGCAACTCCCACGATGGCCACGGTTCCCGCAACTTGAATGGCAATGGCAACACCTCAGGTGATCTTTGAGACCAGCTCAATAACAATCGTTGAGACCTCCGAGAACAGCTCAACAATGGAGGAGCAGGGGCACCCGCCCAGATTATGGACCTCCAAGCGACCGCCCAGGCTATGCAGCAAGTAGCGACGGTGCTAGCTCAGGCAATGGCAGGGTTGCAGGGTCAGGTGCCCCCGCTACAGCCCTAAGAAGTAGAGGTGGAGTTCCTAAAGAGAGAGAAAACCAGCAGCAGGATACAACCCGTGTAACTAGGGACCCAAGACAGCACACCAAGGAGTGGCTTGGAATCTTTACCCAACTCTCATTGAGGCCAAGAATCCTCCCAAACATGTTAATGAATGTTTGTACACCGAGCATTAACAAAATACAAACACAAAACCTTCGTAAACTCAAGAACCCTAGGTTAGTGTTCTTCCCCCTTTTTGCAATAATCACAAATCAAGCATTAAGATGGATAACACAACCCTAAATGAAATCCATAAACTAATTACTCATGATTCAATAGCATAAAGAACACAAAAACATAAGCAATAAACATAAATCTTGCAAAAGATAGAGATAAGGGAAAGAAAACTTCACTAAGAAATGGATGGAAAATCTTGGAATCCAAGTGTTGAATCCTTGATTACAGGCTTGAAATATGTTGTGGAACTAAATCTAAGCCTAATCTAACACTAAAATATGAAAGGAAATGTCTAGGGTTGGAACAAGGTCCAAAACCAAGTTGAAATGACTAAAACCGCGCCTATATAGTGAACAGAGCACAGTGGTACTGCCTCAGGGATGGGCGTACGCCAGGCAGTACCATTTTTGGTGCATTTCCAGTGAACACTGGAATGGACATACTGACATGCGTATGGGCGTACGGCAGGGCGTACGCCACCTGCTTCGTTTTTCAGATCACGGATGAGATGAGGGATGGGCGTACGCAAGGGGGTACGAGGCTCCTGAAAATTCCTAAATGCATTCCAAACTCTTTGGTTGATCTCTTGGTCCAAGAATTGCTCAAATCTTCCCAAAAATCATTGACTTCCTCACTTGTTGTGAATGATTGCATCTTTAAATAAAATCAACACAAATTAGTCACAATTCACACAAGTTTTTAAGCATTTCACAAATAAGATGGGTTCAAGAAGGGGTAAAAATATAGACAAAAATGCACTTATCAATGACGCTCAAAGAAGTGGACCGGTTAGACAACCAGCCGCTGCCAAGTCTGTCTTAGAACGGTTAGGGGAGAGGGCATCCCTATGGCAAAGATTGGGATCGCAGGCCGAGGGGTCTTCCACCAGAGGCCCTCGTCGATACGGGAGTAAAGCAGAGGAGAGATCACCAACTGAGAAGATGGGCGAATCTGATGAGCCGGCCCCACGCCGGTAGTTTGATGAGCCGACCCGCGTCGGCCCGCTACGAAGAGGATTCCCGAGTACGGGATGGCTGAAAAATTGCAAAGGAAGATTGAAGAGTTAGAAATGAAAGTAGAAGCGAGAGAGCAATCGCCGGAACCCAAGGTGAGGATGGAGGCTCCATTTTCCCCATGTATAATGGATGTGCCTTTACCAAAGGACTTCAAGTTACCCGCCATCAGAGCGTACACCGGGACCTCCGACCCGCGTGTCTACATGACAAGATATAAGGCTGCTTTGGTAATGATCGGGGCGAGCGATGTTGTCATGTGCAAGGCATTCTTGTCCACTCCCGAATGGTTTGATCCAAAACTTTCCTAACATACTTCTCTGGCAACATACATTGTAAGAAACCCTTCTCTCACCTCTGCGTAATAAAGTAAGACAGAGGCGAGAGCCTAAAAGATTTCCTGAATAAGTGGAAAAAGGAGGTCAACAATGTCAAAAAAGGAGGTCAACAATGTCTCCAAGACGGCAATTCCGATATTTATCCACGCGCTAAGATCAGGGGATTTTCATAGGCAATTGAACGCCCATCACCCCCGGTCTTACGAAGAATTGATGAGGATAGCCAACCGTTATGTAGAAGCAGAGGAGGTTGATAGGAGAAAGAAGGCCGGATGAAGAGGAAGGTAGAAAGGGTGGGAAGCCTGAAAAAGCTAGTCCGCCCAACCAAACACCACGCCCAAACTAGTCGTTCGCAAGGAGAGGCAGAGACCACGAGCAACCTCGTATGGTCCTGCTGCGTCATTTAACCCCGCTTACCCATCCTGTCAGTGTCATTTTAAAGCAAGCCGAGGAGATGAGAATAGTAAAATTCCTGTCGGAGTGCATGAAGGTCTCCCCAAACGCGGACCAAACCAAGTATTGCAGGTTTCACAGGCAAGTCGGCCATGATACAGAAGAATGCAATGTGTTGAAGATGCAGATTGAGGAACTTATCCAGAGAGGCTACTTCCGACAGTTTGTCAAACGATCCAGACAGTAGCAACCGCCACAACGCAACCCACCAAAAAATGTATGTAGGAAAGGTGATGGCTCCGAACCATCCACCTCGAATGCCAAAAAAAGGGAACATAACCAAATATCTGAGCGGGACGAAAGTGAGAGAGAGACAGAGGAAGAGCCCAGAAAATACAAGAAGCAGACCATACACTTTATCTATGGTGGACCCGTGGGAGGCGATACGCCCGCGAAGAGAAAGAAGTGGAGTCGACAATTGTACGTAGGAGAAGTGGTGATTTTTCCAAGAGGAAAGAAATAGAAGCGAGAGGCCATCACCTTATCTGATGACGACCTCCCAGAGGGTCCATTGCCCCATCGCGACGCACTGGTGATTAAGATGGATATCAATGATGTAATTGTGCACCGCATCTTAGTCGACACAGGAAACTCATTCAATGTGATGTACTACGACGTCTTCACCAAATTGTGGCTAGCTAGGAGCCAGCGCAAGGAGGTACGAACTCCACTCTCTTGATTTACTGGCGATTCAGTGGAAACCGAGGGATCAGTAGCTCTGCCAGTAGAGATAGGCACGAGCCCCAACAATCGCAAACTCGACATGAAATTTATTTTGGTGAGGCTTACTTGCGTGCAAAACATTATATTAGGAAGGCCCGTTGTAACACCCCAGATTTTCAAGACATTTAAAACTTATAATAAAGGTAGAATCTTATTAAATCCCAAGATATAAATACAAGCGTTCGGGGTGCTATGCCACACCTGGGCTAGAGAACCCAAGTGCACAGGCTAACTAATTAATATCCTCAAAGCGTAAATACGTAAACGTGGCACGCAGGCCAAAAGGGAAACTATCTACTTCTAAGTTCTAGCACACTCCAGTGACTTAATCTTCTGTGCCTGAAAGCCAAATATATCTGTTCAGTGAGAGATGCTGGTAACCCACTCCAACGCGTTGAAATACAATACATATAGAGATATATATATAGATATACGAAAACCATTTTGAACATGAAGATATATCCTACGAACTCTAGCTTTAAAACCGGGAATGACTCGACAGATAAGGCCAGACACGAGCAACAGTTATAACGAGCATATGCAGTTCCCAACAGATAAGGCAGATAGGGCAAAGCATAAACAATGATCATAACCCAACATGAACAATCCCCAATATAAATCCCATAGTCACATCCCCCAAGACACTCGTAATCACAACTCGTCCCTGTCACAACACATAACACACTTTGTTGGCGCCACAGGACCAATCGCATGCCCATACATGAGGGTCAGCGCATATAGCTC